CTTCAGGCGGGCTCCTGACTGCTGGCGGGCTCCTGACTGCTGACTTGAAATGTATTCCTCTGTTCTTCAGGCGGGCTCCTGACTGCTAAAACTTGAAATGTATTCCTCTGTTCTTCAGGCGGGCTCCTGACTTCAACAAAAATAGACAAAACAAAGAAAATTTTCTGCCCCTGTTTCAATCAAAGGAAAATCTTGTCAGTTTAAAATGGTGGTTAGTTGATGGCATTCTTGCTGGAGATGTCTCCTTTGCTGTGTTTTGCTTTGACCTGCTTCTCGAACTGGCCCTGGACCACTTGACTCTCTGACTGACTTTCAAACCCATGACCTTCGATGACCCGATTGTTCTATACCAAACCATTGTTTTACACCTCTGACCCCTTTATCTGAACCTTTGCATCTCCCACGACATTACCAAGTCATTCTACCGATGAAACTTCCGGTGACTCCCTGTATCCCACTTTACATCCTGCTATCTTTGGTATGTTCTGGCCACGCTGTGCTTTGCAATTTTGGAAGCTGGTAGTGAGCTTTGAAATCCTTTCTTATTTGCTTTGAACAAAACTGACATTGAAACATCTTAGAGAACAAACCCCAAAAGGAATGAAATGCAATGACTTTGAGAGTTAAGGATAAAGAGAATCCAAAACCGGACGACTTATAAAAAAGAAGAAAAGGAAAAGAGACTTATCTGAGTGGTACAGCCGGTACCATTGATCATGACATGCATTTCGGACTAATCGGCCCAATCCGTCCAACCAATCAACTTTCAATTGCCATGCTTTGTTCCCCCAGAATTCCATAACCTGATTTCTTCAACCAAACCCTAACCTTGTTCATCCTGCGGTGTCCCGAACGGTTTTCACCCACAGACCTCTCTGTTTGTTCATTTGAAAACTCACTTTCGCCTTAAGGTGCCCGCGAGGGTTTTCACCAATAAGACTCTCTCATTGCTGTTTCTCTCAACTCACTTTCGCCTTACGATGCCCGTGAGGGTTTTCACCAATAAGACTCTCTCATTTTCATTATTTTCCTGCTTGGACCAGAGTGTTGTCCCTGACATGAATCACCTCTTCTTGCTTGACTTGGCATTTCTTGAAGACTGATCAGAAGTTCTTTCTTTGGACCGTAATGCAGGCTTTTGGACAGGGTTAGAAAGAAAGGGTATCAAAGGCTCAAAACAATTCAGCTGGGTTTAGAATTACAACTTCCGGAATCAGATTTCTCACAACAACCGCAACTTCTGCCCCAGTTTTTTACTTGGGGACTTTTGGATTTTTATTATGATGGGACCGAACCGTGAGGCTGCCGACGTATCCTTAAAAGGAATCAGGTCGAATGTAGTTCATGTCATAGAAATTACTTTATTGTTATGATTTTCCCTTCTTTTTCTTCCATTTTCTCTTCTTTTCTTTTCTTTCCTCCTTTTCTATTTTTGTTGTTTCTTCTTTCCTTTTCTTTTCTTTTTATTCTCTTTGTTTTTTTCTCTTTTCTTTCTTTTTCTTCTCTTTTTTTTCTCCTTCCTTTTTCCTTCTCTCTCTTTTTATTCTTTTCTTTTCTCTTTCCTTTTACTTAGCTTTCACGCTTGTGTTTCTGATCTTTGCTACTGATTCCGAAAGAGGGGTATGAAAGAAAATGAATAAGGCTCAAAGGGGGTAACAAAGGATAAAGTGTTTGGATAGCAGAACAAAATGCCTTCGTCATTCCAATCTTCAAAACATGCCAAGTACAAACAAATACAATTAAAACAAAGAAGATCATACATAATATCTCTTGACCGCATCGGAATTGATGGCCATTTCAACACACTTGCCTTCTATGTCTGTCAATTACAAAGCACCATTGGACAACACTCTCGTCATGATGAACGGCCCCTGCCAATTTGGGGCAAACTTGCCTTTGGCCTCAGCCTGATGTGGAAGAATACGTCTCAACACTTGCTGACCCACTTTGAAGTTTCGTGGACGCACCTTCTTATTATACGCTCTTGCCATTCTTTGTTGATACAATTGGCCATGACACACTGCTGCCATTCTTTTCTCATCGATCAAACTCAATTGCTCAGGCGGGTTCTGACCCACTCATCATCATCAATTCGGCTTCAGCGACAATCCTAAGGGATGGGATTTCAACTTTTCAGAATTAGCTTGGCTTTTAAAATTGGGCCGAAGATTCCTTATGCATGTCATGTCATTGAAACCAGCCTAAAAAAAATTGTGTAAGGAAGAAAAGAAAAACAAAAATAAAACTATCAGGAATGATGAAAAGGGGAAATTGCATTGCACTGAAATGAAAAGATAACAAGGTTTATATATCCAAACGGACGGAACATAGAATATGACTTACAACCCTGGAATAATCCTGATAAACTGAAAGAAAATCAAAGCAAACTACCAAAACTCCTTCTGGGTAAGGAGAGGAGTAGCTTCCCAATTGTTAATCTTTGCACTTGGCCCGAACAATTTCACATCCGCCTTGCTAGAACCCTCTCCAACTTCCACCATGTTCACATCGTCGAACAACTTCTCGACCCTTTCAATCAACTCTTTATCAAGATCGATCACAGAACAAGGAACTGTTGTTACTGGGCGCTTCCCAGCGCCTCGTTTGACAATGACGGGATCTGTGTGGGCACCCTCCACAATCACGATAGGCTTTTTCGCCGCTCCTGGCACAACCACTTTTTCCTTTTCTTGTTTCGTTGCAACCTCACTTGAGGACCCTTTCTTGACTACCGCAGATGGTTCACTGTTTGTCCCGCTCAACCTGATCACTGATTTCTCACTTGTTGACTTTTTAACCGGCCTGACCTCACTGGACCGAATCATCATGACGGTCTGTGAAGGTTTCTTAGGCTCCCCTCCCTTATGCACTATCTCAATCATATTGGTCTCATGATGGGCCAGCAATGGATTCTGGTTGATATTGGGCGCTTTCGGGGCCTGAACCTCGATCCGATGGGCATCAATGAGCTCTTGAATAGCTGTTTTCAATTGCCAGCATTTCTCTGTGTCATGCCCCGGAGCACCTGAACAATATTCGCGTGATTGGTGGAGGAGGGTATGGGACTTGTTTGGGTGGTGGAGCTGGTGGTGTTTGGGAAGTGGTGCCATAACATTGTTGGTAGGGGGGAAATGCTGGAGATGAATTCACAGTAGGAGGCTCCTGAGGTTGAGCCAATGGGGGTATATAAGCAGGGTTGGCGGGGTAAACCGGTGGTGGGTGCCCCTTTGCCCAGGCCTGGTACATTTCAGCCATTTGCTGCTTCAGCTTATACATTTCTTCTTTCATCGCATTAACATCCAGTTCTTCCACCTCTTTTGACGGGTCGACAATACTCGCCTCTAGTTCTTGGTTGGCCATGTTCAGCTTGTCTTTTGACCGGGTGTTATAGGAGTGAGGTGCCAGAATGCCAATCAACTAACCACCTGCCTGGAGTCAATACATCAACAATAACTTTGTTAGCGGTGAGGGCTTTAACAAATTGGTAACCGCACATTTGGGGAATGAATGCACCTAAGCAGTTAACCATTTCTATTACGCATTTGTTCGGCTGCTTGCGTCATCCCGGCTTTCCTTATTTCCATGGCAACTTATGTTTCTTTTATTTCTTCTTTTTCTTGCCTTTGCTTTCTCTCTGTTTTTGTTCTCTCATCCCACCCTCTTGTTTTGCCATTGTTTTTTTTTTCTCTCAGTTTCTTATTTTTCTCTCTTTTCTTTCATTTTCTCTCTTGCTTTCCTCCCTTTGTTTTTCCCCTCTTGTTTTTCCTCTCTCTTTTTCTCTTCTTCTTTTATTTCCTCTGGTTCCGGTCGAATCCTATGGAGCTTGCCTACGTATCATGACCCCGCATGAATCAGACCAAGCGTAGTTCTTGGGGATATAAATGAAAAATAAATAACAAAAATATTTTTGGGATTTTCAATTTTTCATAAAAACAAATACTTTGATTACAATGACTCAAGACTCAGACTCAAAAGAAACTAACAAACTTTTAAAACATCAATTCAAAGGACCTAACAGACTCCAACACGACTAAACAGACTCAAAATGGAAGGTACCGACTCAAACAAAGATCACGAATACATTAAAGCCTTGAAAATTCCTGAAGCCCTCGGGGTGTTGTTTGGTTCTGCTGCGGGCCCATCTGCAAGATCCCCTTGGAGACTTTCCAAATCTCTCATTATCTGCTGGACAAATGTCATGACTGCCGCGAGGAAAGTGGTGCGGGTCATGTCCTCACATGCTTGACATTTTACCACGATGTACTCTGCAATCGCCCTGACCTTCTCTCGGATCCTACCCTTCTCTTGCAATAAATACCCAATTTGCCGGGCTCTAGCTTCCAAAGTTTGCTCAGCTGCATGGCTCTGTTCTTGAAAATGTTGCAGATCCCTTTCTAACCGTGCTACCAAGGCATAACAATGCTCCCTTTCCGCCTTGAAATCTCTTTCCTGCTTAGCCATTTCATTTTCAAGGATCTTGACCTTTTTCTTCATACTCACCATCCCTTTGTCGTATTTTTCCTTCAGCTGACGGATGAGACTGGCTCGTTCCCCTGCATCCTTAGCTAACTTGGCTTAGGCATTTGCTAGCTCCACTTCAGGCTTTTGCAAATCATCCTCGGAATCACGTGCCTTCAGGGTAAGACTGTAGATAAGCTTTTCATCTTTTCTACTCCTGCCGGAGTTTTCAATTGCCAGTTTCATCTTCCGGATTTGGGCTTTGAGACCTTCGGCTTCCTGTGCTTGGAGATCATTGTTGAATTCCATGTTTCTCAGCTTTTCTTTCAGGGCATGAATCTCAGCTTGATATGCCTTTTCTTTTTCCCCCCGTGCTAATCTTTCTTGGATTATGTCATCAAAAGCTTGAACATGAGGTCTTTTGGCAGGCCTCTCAGGTTCGGGTTCCGGCTCGTTGTTCACACAAGACCTTTTCTCAAACCAAATAGCATAGCCCGAATCTATTTCCCCCTTTGCAATATCTGGTACCTGGGTGCCATTCTTTAGATACCGGCAGGCATTCCAATCCTGTTGAACTAAAGCCTCGGGCAATGCAGCTTCCGGATGTAACTCTATGACCTGAGTACTTAAATCTTCATCTTCGGGCACAATCTGATACCTTCCCAACTGTCTCAGGACCCTCTGTGGTGCATACGGCTGAATACTTTTCACACCCATTAACCTCAAGTAGCCTTTAGCAGCAGTCATGTATATGGCTTCTGTCTTCGGGAGCCATCCTATAGACCACTCAATTTGACTTTCTTTGAGAGCTTTCAAATGAGACACCCATGCTTCAAATCCTTCTGGCACATTGTAATCCTTTACCCTCTCTTCGTAACTGGTGATGAAGTTATTTGGGCTCGAGCCATAACTCATGAATCTGGGATGATGGCGAAGATGCTCGATCAACCACATTTGTAAAAGGATATTGCAACCCTCAAAGAACTGAGCCCCGACTTTGCATAAGGTCAACGCTCGATAGATATCCGCCAGTACTAACGGAGCAAGTGTATGGTCTTCCTTGGTAGTGAGGATTTGTGCGATTCCAGACATACGGATATCAACTGTCCCTTTCTCATTTGGAAAAACCATAATTCCTAAGAATGCCACGATAAATGCAAACTGGCGATGAATCTGCCAACGACCCTTATCTTGCTTGTTGCTCAACCCCTTTTCATGTGCTTCCAAACCAGAAGAGTGTCGAAACCTGAAGTATAAGAAATGGAAAGCACAACACCTGTTGCTTATATGGTCTTTGTTTGCTGATATTCAAGAGGTCAAAAAACTTGTGTACCGACGGAGCCCTTGGAAATATAAGCTGTTGCTTCCTCAAATCTCGTCCAAACTCAATGTACCCAGCCATCTCCTCCAAAGTAGGGGTAATCTCAAAGTCCGAGAAGCGAAAAACATTACGGGCTGGGTCCCAGAAAGTTATCAGAGCCTTGATCAGATCGTCCCGTGGTTTAATCTCCCAGATGTCTATAAGAGCGCCCACCTGCTTTCTCAGCCATTTCTGACCATCCTAATCTAAATCATTCCACCACATGTACCCGAGCCTGCTCCCTGATCACTTCTGGTGGATCTTGGATAATATTCATCTGTTCCTGTAGAAGGGTAGGGTTAGGGTTGACTCCAGTGGACCCTTTTGAAAACAGGTTTCTAATTTTAAAACAAAAAACCATAATCCCTTCCTTGATATGCCAATATTAACCAAATGGCTATTTTTGCAAATGTGGCCCCTTCCCAATTCCATACGAATTTTGAGGCCGGGGAGGGTTTATTTTATGACACTTCTCAACCTTGTCCATTTGTTTACGAAGATAGCCCTTCGACAACTGAAGAATACTCTAAGGTTACCTCGGTAAGAACGGTTTAAAACATTGCCGAAACTGAATCGGCTTATTTTGACCAAACTTCCAAACTGCATCTATTTGACCCCCTAACTTCTGTTTTTTTTTCTCTTTTGTTTTTTCAAAAATAAGGCCGGACCTTATGTAGGTTGCCTACGTATCCCACATCCAGTGAGAATCAGACCTGCGTAGTTCGGCTAGCTTGATTTTTGGAAATAACTATTTTTGAAAAAAAATTCGGCAGAGTTTCGGGGTATTTTCAAATATCGGGTTTTAGAGCCGGGCTTTATTTCTTCATCATTCTTGGTCTTTCTCTCTCTTGTTTTTTCTCTCTTTTTGATTTTTCCCTCTCTTTTTGTTTTCTTATCTAGCCGCCTCAGCATGCAAGCCGAAACAAACAAATGTTCACGTAGCACATAGAATGCATCATGATGGTCTGTTATTTTGGGGTACACCTGTCCTAGACGGACCCAACCCCTGTGTTGAGTCTCCTAAGTCAAAATGCACGTGATGCAAACAAGCGCTCCTACTAGGGATCCGGCATGAAGCTGTGTTTTTCTAAGTTAAAATCCTGGGGTTTTGGTCTAAACTTGGGGTACCCGAGCGGACAACTGGGGCCGAGGAGGGGCGACGTACCGGGAGCACTAAAGTTTGCCCGGCCTTGTCGCTTGCCCAGCCTCGCTCTATTTGGTGTAATTTCTACAGAAAAGCGGGCTACGCGAACGTATGCACCATTTTCAGAAGACTCAGATGGGGTGGCGTAAGAAGGCAATTATATATAATTTCAACAATATTAAAGCGGTAAACAGATAGTATTTTAGCACAAAGGTTCACAAAAATACAATAATATCAACAATAAATAAGCCAAGTAAAAATCATAAAACAAGCTCGAATTCTTGAACCCTGAACAATAAATTTTCGGTTCTGATCCCCATGAGAAGGTGTTAGGCACTCCAGAGTTTCGTGGTTCTAGCACGGTCGCTTTGATCATACTTGGCTTATACAATTATTTAATTACTGATTTTAGAACCTATATGCTTTTACTTCTTTTACCGCTTTTAATAAGAAAAATTATCTTGAAACGGGTAACGAGCACGTATACCCATTCATTTGGCGCGTCAAAAATTATGTCACGTGAACGTGTCCACAATTAATAACGCTTTATTATTATAAAGAAAGTTTGGGCCGAAGTTGCGCGAACGCATACTCCAGTTTTATTTTTAGAAGCGTAATTGTGTTACGCGGACGTATACACAATCACACTAGTATTTTAATCGGCCCTAGAGGCTTTTCTATGAATATTAATCATTTTAAATATCTAGGTTATAAAAGTAACCCGAGGGCCATGCATTCGAAACCACGCCTTAATTTGTTCGATAAGGATCCATTAATGGTACACAGCTAACGAGGTTACACTTAATTTCAACTATGACGGAATTTTTGAATCAGAAATTGAAATTAACCAAATGCTGTTTTTTTAGAACCTAAAATTAGCCTAATGAGAGGCCCAACGTGAGGAGGCAGCCCAAGTGCTATGTTGTCAACGAATGAAGGGTGCAACTGGGCCAAAACGTGAGGCCCAAACATATTGAGGATTTAAATCCTTCCAACTTTAATACAAATCCAAATACTGTATTTCAGAACCCAACTATTGGCCTAGCTTTTAAGCTATTCTGGACAACCCATTTATCATCTAAAATGCAAGTTCACTGTAAGCATATTTTTACCTTTCAAAGGACAGTCAGAACTAACTACACTACCAACCCAGGGTTTAACAATTTGACAAGTTCCAAAACAAGTGGGCCTATGGCCCAAGACTCACAAAATAGCCCCATCCCAACGCCTGAACGTCTACACGCTTACAAGGGGACAAACAAGCCTGCTCATTAATTATTGGCCCAAGAGGGCCCATATCCCTGTGAGTCTAACATTGAATAATCACCAAATTACACCCACAACTACTGAACACCGAAAAAGCTGATTGGAATTTAACTACAAACTATTTAAAATCTAGCCATTTTCACATAACAAACATACTAATCATATAGCCTTTTCATGTTTTGAATTTGTTTCAAATGATCCTGAACTAAAAACTAAATCAACGAGATATCCAGAATATCAAATCCATGTCCACATTACATACAAAATTTCAACCAAAGGTCATTTGACAAACGACCACTCCTATTACTGCCAGGTTACTTCATCACAATCAACAGGCAATAATATGACACCTTTAGCCATTTTAATCTACTGCAGTAATTCAAACTAAGCTAAAAGGAAACCTAATTCTAATTGCAGACTCTAATGAATAGATTTATAAGAAAATCATTACACTAAAACAATAAGAACTAATTATCAATCACAACCAAGCTTTGACAAATACTTTAAGCATAATCCAAACGCGGTATACTGGTCATAAAAAAACTGAAGAAACAAGGACTAAATTCAATGAATCAGCATTAGACTCCATCTTATTTCAATCAAAGCTTTGCATTACACATTAGGTGAAGTCCATGGGAGCTGAACAATACCTGGGATAAGAAAAGGAAACAAAGAAGAGAGTGAAGATCAGTAGGTCACAGCAACAACAGATCAGCAAACTGAACACAGCTTCAGCCCAAGAATAACTGAGGAATAATCAATTGGAGACAATTTCGAACCAGCACCAGCACTCAATAAAGCTCAACCATGAAAATCCAACCAGAAATGAATCCAAAACACCTGAAGAGCTACTGATTTAACTCAGTTTAAACTTCAGCTGTTTAGGAATTTATTTAGGGTAAAATGTTGCAGGAATTTCAGGGATTTTCTCTAATGAAACAGTAAAATTTTGAAATTGTATTCTCAGCTCTTAGAAATCTCTAGCCCCTAAAATCCTCTCTAAAATCTTCGCCCAAAATCCCTTTGCTCTCAAATTTAGGCCCTCCAATCTGACCTTTAAGGCAAGGCAATGATGCCTTTACAGGCAAGCAATTAGGGCAACTTTCAGGTTTTAGATTTGCATTTTAGTCCCATATTTTGTGACTTGGTGCCCAAGTTATACTACCTAAAAGCCTGAAATTGAAATTAGAACCCCATACTAGAAACTTCTAGGGGCTTCCCAATCTGTTACTGCAAGGTTCCCTAAGCCAAATACCTATACTACCCTCAAATATCCCTGAAATTACCCTGAAGACCAGCCTGGGTCAAACGGGTATGGGTTAAACTGACCCAATATCTGGACCAAAGGTGGGCTCAATTCTGAACCCATGATCTAGATTAAATCCTTGAGATGAAATCTGAAATGGCTTCAAAGCCCAGACGAACAAATGATCCCAAATCCAATCAATCAACAAACAGAGAACCCACATTTAAATGATTTCGAGAACTAAAATCTACGATAACTGATTAATCACGAACACAAAGCAGGAAATTAACTAGATTATAAACCTTATTAAATTAACTCGGTGATTAAACAAGAGATGAAATCAAAACACTAATCATGCGATCAACAAAAGGCACTAAACAGACCCAGCAATACTGAAGAATAAGAACCTGGAAAAAAGAATAACAAACGGACAACTCTCAAACTCGGCCGGAAACTTTTGATCAAAATTTTTTAATTGAGTTATCGAAAGAAAAGAGAGGAAGGAAAGAGGAAATAAAACTGAAATAGCGTGAAGTGAAACAAAAGAAAGAGAGAAGCTCACCAAACAAAGCTCGAACTCGAGACTTGACGAACTAGTTTAATCCCTAAATAATGTCAATCGCTTGTTCTTTGTCAAGAACAAGCGAACAACATCATTTTGTGATAAACCGGCCCTGAATACTAAGAAAACTTGGAGGAGCAGCCTTGCATGAGTGAATTTGGCTTTGGGCTTTTAGGGCTTGAATCTTTGATTTAAGATTCGAAAAGATCCATGGGGATTCGAAGGAAAATACTTGGAGAATGGGAGAGGGGAGGCTAAGAAGATTCCGTGGTGTTATTTTGAGGCGGTTTGGAAGCGGTGCCGCCACCAGAGAAAACAAGGGCGGTGCTAGGGTTCCGAAAATTCGAGGGGCTCCGGTGGGATTTGAGGGAATATGATGGGGGATTCGTGATGAGGGAGGGAAGAGGGAGCTTTGGTGTGAATTTGGAGGTTTTTGGACGCCGGCCGCCGCCGTAGGCGATTTCCGGTGGCGGTAGACGGCGGAGGCGGTGGAGGAGGTTGGTCTCTAGGGTTCAATGGAGAAGAGGCGAAGGGGGGTAGGGGGTGTCATTAGGACACTTATATATCAAAGACACCCTAGTTCCTGGCCGTTAGATTATGAAACCTTGACGGCCAGGATTAATCAAGGAGAAACGGCGTCGTTTTGGTTATGGGGGGGGGGGTGGGGTGGGGGGCGTGGACCGGGTTTGGACGTGGGTTTGGGCTGGCATGGGGCTTGTTTGGACTGGTTCAGGGGATTTTTGGCTTGGGCTTGTTGGAACGAAATAAATCAGGCCCAACTCTGAACTCTTCAATCATTTCTTTTCCATTTCAAATCAATTCTTTCAAAATTCTTTTTCTTCTTTTTTCTCTTTTTTCTTTTTCAAAATTAAATAAAAATTCAAATTAAGTCCTAAAACCTAATTAACCCTAACTAATTAAACCTACATAGTAATTATCACAATTAATTAAAACCTAAATTAAAAGAAAAACTACCAATACTCCAAGATTAAATAAAAAAAATGCAACATAAACTATTTTGTGATTTTCCATTTTTAAAACAACTTAATTACTAATTAATTATTAAAATATAAAATTAACTCCTAAATGCACATGCACATATTTTTTGTATTTTCATTAATTAAACAAAAATAAAAATACACAGACAAATGCAAAAAATTAACATAAATGCCACGAAAATCCACAAAATTGCAAGTAATGAAAAGAAATCATTTTGTTTTGAATTTGTGGGAATAATTCATATAGGGCAAAAATCACGTGCTCACATGTAGTAGTCTATTTCCCCATTTCCTTGGATAAAAGACCCAAGGTAATTGAAACTATCTCTCTTAGGGATAACTTGTGTATCAAGCCTTATATCTCTGTCCGCTTCACTGATCCTGTCATTG